CAGCTTCCATTTATTGAGGAATATCTGTCCAAAATTATATTGCTTTAGAAACACAGATTCCATAGTAGCTAGCCGTAGGTGAGTATTTGAGTCCTGCTCAAGATGCTGGGCTGAGGTGAGCATCTGAGCTGAATGACTTAAATAGCTCCATTAACCTGTAAGTTTAAGATTTTGTGTCTTGTACTGACTTATTTCACTGTGCTCTGGCTAAAAGATTTGTCTTGAAGGGAATACCTTGTTATTGAGGCTCACTCATTTCCTTTCCTTTTACTAGTGGGCTCTGTACAGCACACAACATAGAAGTGTTGAAGAAAAAAAGAAACTAATATCTTTTAAATGAACTTAGAGTATCTTTTCCTCAGATCACATTTTATGGTTGCCATTAATATCCCTGCAGACTTCCTGTAGTTAAAAGAAGAAGCAGCTGCAGCATGCGACCCCAGGAATCTAAAAGAAAGTAATCTTCAGAAAGGAACTAGAGTTGCACACAGCTTTGGTAGATTAAAAAGGATATATTGAACAGAATTCTTAGCTTTGTCATTTTTGGAGGGGAAGGGGACTCACTGTGTTTGGAGCTGGCTGGAAGCTATGTCCACAGAACATGCAGCAGGAAAACGCAAGTCCATTCTGCCTGTAGTCAGAGTACAAGTGCAACTTTCATCCAAAAGCAAAGTAACCAGGCTATGGACAGCTAATGCACTATTTTGGGTGACTGCCAGTAAGCGATAATTGTCTTTGTTAACAGCCCTGGTCATTAAGAGTTTTATTTTAAAACAAATAACTGGTCAAGTCCTTTTTTTAAAAAACACTGTATATATAAAAATAACATGAATATTTGTAGATATCTGTGTATACATATATGTACACAGATGTCCGTATGTTTTTATATATATGTAAATTCTCTTGAATGTTGCACGTGTTATTATGGAAGACCATAAGCAAGGCTAGTTGTGCAAGGAAGAAATATCTTGTTAGAACAACCAGTATGAGAGGGAGGGAGGCACAGACAGGTGTTTAAGCCAGTAATCCCTTCCAGACTGAAGATCTGGTTGTGTCTGAATGCTAATCTGTTCTATCCATCTATGTTACCAGACTGCATTACTTGAAAGATGCTCACTGTCAGTTTAATTTCATTATTTTCTCTTGCCATGACTGGCAGTTTAATGTTAAACCTTTATGATCCTTCCTGGGGATCTGCACTATTGTGATTATACAAACTAAGCAAAAAGATATAAAAGCTAGCCTATAACTAGAATTCCTTTTTTGCTCTCTTGTCACAATTTGTTTCTTCTGTACACCACAAGTTTGTGCTGAGGACTGATAAATATTCACACACACCTTCCCTATGGTGGTGCTGTGCTCTACCTTTAACTCAAGGAGCAGCTGTAGAAACTATTCTGAAATACCTATATGTTCTATGATACACTCTGTTTAGGTTATTTCTGAAATGCACCTGTTACTGTGCATAACAAATGGAGCCGTCAAGCATGATGAGATTTTACTGTGTTTAGTTGACGTGCTTCGTCCAACATGTACATGGGTTGCAGCTACATAAATGTGAACAAATGTGATTGATTGTGTCTGGGCTAAAGCAGATAAGAGGCAAGAAATGTCATAGTGACATTTTTGTGTTATTAAGCAGATGATGAATTAAACCATGTTAAAGAAAGATGACACTTGGTGGACTACTTTTTAATGTTTGCCTTAGGAAAAGCACACTCTTGATATGGGAGACTTGGGACAACATGGTAGCTTCGAGGAGGAAAACTCAAGTACACAGGAATGCAAAGAATTACTCCCAGTAAGGCTGTTCCACAGAAATACTGAAGCTGTGGGTGTATTTAGAGAAGAAAATTATTTCCTGTGAACTGAATCTGAAGTATATGAGATGTCTACTTTATCTAAAAGCGACTGTTTCATTAGAGGCGTATTGGTGCTAGCTCTGTTAAACATTTCCTTAATCAGCCTTTTGGGAAATTTGCTGTCTCCAAGCTTGCTTATATTCAGCAAGTTGCTGAAGTCTGTAGTTGCATTTCAGAAGTCGGGTAATTTGCTGCTTTCATGACAGCCTAGTTGCTGAGCAAATGGTTTACAGTGATTTATGGGTAGGAGTAGAGGAACTGGCTTGAGCAGGAGGGCTACAAAATGGTCAATCTGTTTTCAGAACCTCACATCTGAAACAATGATAGATGGACAATATTGTTAAAACTGTGAATGGTAAAGCTCTTTTGCACAGTACCAGGTTAGCTATGTTAAATCCCATGATATTGGATTGAGGATAATTCAGAAGTCATTCTGGAGACTGGGGAGGGAGACTGGGAGTTGTGAGAGTTGCATAGACAGTATATTACTAGCAAAGCTTGAAATCTATTTGTGTGGGTTGACCGTGGCCAGTAACTAAGCACCCACCAGCTGCTCGCTCACCTATCCCCCTGCAGTGGGATGGAGGAGACAATTGGAAGAACAAAAGTGAGAAGAACTCATGGGTTGTAATAAAGACCATTTAGTAAGAGAAGGAAGGAAGGAAGGCAGGAAGGAAGGAAGGAAGGAAGGAATCTCCCACCAGTAGACTGATGCCCAGCCAGGCCCCTAGCAATGGCTACATTGGAAGAACAAACCCACGAGGTTTACTGCTGAGCACGACATTATATGGCAGGGAATATCCCTTTGGTTAGTTTTGGTCAACTGTCACAGCTCTGTCATGTCCAAACATCTTTCCCAGCCCCAGCCTGCTTGCTGAGGGTGCAGAGTGAAAAACCGAAAAGGTCCTGATGCTGCGCGATCACTGTTCAGTGACACTGAAGCACTGGTATGCTGTCAACACTGTTTTAGTCACAGGTACAAGCACAGCACCCTACTGGCTGCTATGAAGCATCCCAACCAGAGCCAGTACAATCTTCTGCAGTATCAACAGAATAAAAATACATTAAAATAACTTTTTGAACATGTACCAGTGTAATTTAAGCTATTAAGAAGATGGCATTTGAGTATGGAAAGAACCATGTCCAGACTGTACTCGGCAAAACAAGATACAATCTTTGCTTCCTGAGAATACTGATTCCATTCCAGTCCATTGTGGATGAACAATACAGGTGCTATATTTCTGTATAATAATTGTGGACTTGGAGAATAGCATAAAATATTTGTTGTCTGGTATGACAGATCTTACTTGTTTTCCTCCTTATTTCTCAATTTAGTGAAGCTGATCAAATTTTTTATTTACTGTATTGTCTTTTTTGAATTAATAGTCTGAAAGTTAAGATGTTAGTGCCCTGTAGAAGAAAAACATGTAATATATGTGTATATATCAGACATTATGGCACATGTATTTTTTGTAAAGAAGTACACTCAAATTATATACAAGTATTTTCCAAATGCATGTATTAAAGCAGTGACATATCTGCATGTAGTATGCTTGATTAGTACAATTGAAGGATGTAAAAACATGTGATAAAATATGACACAAATCACATGCTAGACATGGTATCCCTATGGATTAATCTGGATTAATTTTTTTTCCAGTGCTGTATGTTGGCACTATGGCAAGAGTTCATCTAGGCAGAGGTCTTACTTGGAAGTGATGAGACTGGAAGTGTGTACTGGAACAGGTTGCCCAGAGAGGTTGTGGGTGCCCTATCGCTGGAAGTGTTCAAGGCCGGGTTGGATGGGGCTTTGGGCAACATGGTCTAGTGGAGGGTGTTCCTGCCCGCGGCAAGGGGGGTTGGAACTATGTGGTCTTTAAGGTCCCTTCCAACCCAAACCATTCTATGACTCTATGATTCTATGTGTCTGTTGTGATGTCAAACATGTATTAGTGCTGAGCTGCTGTTCAAAAGTGCTGGAGAGTTAACTGGGTCACAAACTAGCATTATCTTCTCACAGTATGTGTGTAAGTAGCTTCTGGCTCTCCACACTTGATATTATGGTCAAACTCAGAATCATCTTCAGTTTGTCAGAGTACCTCTTCAGTATTTTCACTCGTTTCATGTGATGAATAGGAGGTCACACAGATTTTTTTTTTTTGCCAACACTTGTGATGTTTCAGATGAAAAGAAAGAGGCAACAAATAAAACCTTTAGGCCATACCTTTATGTGTCATCTCATTGTGGAAATTTGAGTAAAACAGTGGCTTATAAAGTTTGTCTGTTAAGGAAAACATGAAGTCAGTTAATTTAAATATATCTGTGAAATGCAGCATTGTAATATTCCACTGTGCTTTACCAGTAACACTTCTGTGTGTATGCATCAGCCACCACAACTAAGTTGGAAAGTAGGACTTTGTGCTTAATGTGTATTTTTTATTTAGTTATTTTGGGCAAATTGTTGCTCTGTATTTTAATCTATAATAAGTGGTTGACTGTCATCTCATCACCTTCATCTAATATGGGTTTAAATAATTGGAAATTTACAGTTTCAATAAGTTCAATATTTCAACTCTCAGACATTTACACAGCAGCTTGCAACTTAAACTCAGGCATAGTGTGAATAAAAGTTAAAATTCCACAAGCCTTTTTCTAAATGATGCACTTCTAAAAATTTTAGGTTACCCAAGTAACTATAATAAAGATAATTTGGGGTGAATGCTTAGCTGCCTGGATTTGCTAAATAGCTTACAGTAATTGTAAATGGAAATGGGTTTGTGTCTTGCTTCTCTGAATAATGAAAAGCTATCTCCAGGAGTTGTCATAGCAGCTGTGTTTCTGATCTAAATAGCATTGTACTAGTGTGCGTACAAGTCTTGTCATTGACTAGCATTCTCATGAATGGACTGCTTATGTAGTCATGTTCCCACTTGAACTTCATTGAAAGAATTAGTATAGCAATACTTTAACATTTGGGGTGGTTTTTTTACTAATTATTTAAATAGATTTATCCTAGATATGAAAGATGGATTTTTTCCTGTGGTTTTTTTTTTTAACCCATTCATTGCCTCCAGCCTGCTATTTAGAGTTTGATTTTGAAGAAAATGAGTAATTTTTCTAATCACTTTTGCCTTGTAGGTTAATCTCAGAGCCACCGATGTGAAGCTAATGCGCCAGCTACTCATCATCAATGAAAGTATTGAATCAATCAAGTGGATGATTGAAGAGAAGGCCATTGCCAGCAGAGGTAGCAGTTTGAGTGGCAGCCTGTGCAGCTTGCTGGAAAGTCAGGAGACATCCCTCCACGGCAGCTGTAACAGTTTACAAGACTGTAGTGATGGACTGGATGGAATATCAGTGGGGAGTTATTTGGACACCTTAGCAGATGATGTCCCTGGTCACCAAAGCCCTTCAGATATGGACCAGTTCAGTGATTCTTCTATTATGGAGGATTCACAGCCTCTGCATAAGCATCCCAAAATTGATTCTGATGAGTACTACTGTTTTGGTTAATAAAAAACAAATTCCAGCGGGACACAACTGCACTTGTACTTATCCTCTTTCTTTGCTGCTATTTTATTTCATGTGCAACCCCCTCCAAACTTCTCTTGGAAGGAAAACATAATATGATACTTTGATTCCACTTCATAACTTTTCTGTTGCTTTTAATACATTTTCTCCTTGATGGGTTCGGCTTTCCTCCTCCTTACCTCTTCTTTTTTCATAATTTATTGTCGCAATTCTTCTTTTTTTGTTTTTATTTTTTACAGCTGTATTTACACATCTTTAAAAGTGGTGAAGGAAAAGCTTTATCTTTAAAATGAGACATCAGGGAATGAAAACAACAATTTTGTATTTGTTGGCAATAAAATATCTTCTGATAAATATATATTGTGGTAAATTTTCTTGACTACCAAGTTTGGCCTTTCCAAAGACATTCTTGAGCCTTAAATCTGAATCTTGAAAATACTTTTACCAAATAATTTTCGTTTTGTAAGCAATGGTATTTGATTCTGTTAAGCTGTCTTCACTTGGAATATAAAATATCCTAAACTTTTCTGTGTGGGCTTTCTTTCTTCTTGAACGTTCTCATCCTTCTTGTCTAATTATAGTTTTAAATTCTGGACTTCATTGGTGTCTTGCAGTGATGCATTCCAATACTGGAAGCTCTGCATAAGAGTATATTTCATTTTTGTACTTCATACCTTTCATTTTCATTGAACCTGCTGTTTTATAGGCACAGTCTAACTCTATAAAAAATATCCCACATTTAAAATATCCAATTCTAATAGTTTGGTTATTGAACTAAAATTCTTCAGCAGAGTTATTTTAAACATGTAACTCAAAGTCTTGCCAATTTTTACTTTGAAATTTTGAGGGATTTAGAGGGCACTGGTGAAACATTTTACAGGAGGCAACATGCTAGAAGGCATGTCCTGTTTTGCTTTTGTATGCACACCCTCATCCTTGACAAGTTTACTTTGTTTTTACCAAATATTATTACTAAGATAAAGTGTTGCCCTGCTGTCTTTTGTTTCCTGTTTTACAAATAAGAGTTTGCTTTAACCTTTTGTGCTTACTGGTACAGTTGAGAGCTACAGCTAGTCATTTGTATTGGAAGCATCTAAGAAGGAAAACAGGAACAAACTGCTGTGTGGAAAGTCTCTGGCTTTTGCTTTTGGCCATGCTTTTGTGCAGAAAATGAGGGGGCAGATTATTCTTCTAATTGCTTCAGAATCATAAAGAAACAAGATTTTATCCTTCTACAGTAAAGAAAAAATAAGAATAAAGGAAATAGAATTGAACTGGACACTTTAACAGATTAATGAGTGTGTATTTCCAGCTTACAGATAGTGAAAAAGATGTTGATACTTAGACATCATCTAAAAGTGTCCTATCTTGCCATGTCTGTATTCCTAATGCCAGTAAAACATGAAATTCTCTCACTGAAGAAACTAATGGTTGCCAAGTATAATGCAGGCTCCCTATATAAAATGTCTTTTACTTATTGTGAAGGAATGAAGTTAGTATATGCAGCAGTCGACGTATGTTGGTTTGGTTCATTTTGAGATAAAGTAATAGTCTAATAAGGTTCTGTTCTTCCAAGCCATGTTTCCATGAACCTGTCTTGCCCAGCCTCGATCGACGTTAAATGTGGAGAAAAGGTAAAAACTGAAGAAATTGAAAGTGGCAATCTGTGTTTTCTGGTTAGCTCCATTACTTCTCATACAGTAGATGTCTGTCTCCCTCAAAATTAAAAAACAATATGTATATTTTGCTTTGGACATCATGATTTATTCAGATAGAATGAGAGTGAAGATATGTGTGGTTACCAAGAATGAAACTTCTCAGTTCAACTTCTGAGAGCAACCAGGGTATTGCAGATAGCTTGAAGGAAAGCAGAGACAACCCTTCAAATGTCAGTGCTCTGCTGACTTAACATTTTTAGGTTTTTTAATTCCTTCCCCAGCTTATGACTGCTGGACATAGTTTGAAAAAAAAGTTTAAAGAAAAAAATCTTGGAAAAACGTATTTCTCAGTGTACCATTAAATAGAACATCAATTATGAATTCAAAATGCATTTTATTACTTTAAATTATTTGGATCTAGGGAACAGAACTAACTCCCTGGTGTAAAACTGTGATTCTCTTGAAAGTCTTTCTACCTTTATTGCTTGGCATGGAAGTTAACCATCAGGATGTATACTCCCTCTGCATGTAATGAATGTGCAATCTACACAGCCTTTTCTTCTCCAACTCAGATCTTAGGCAGTAGGCCAAGATGCACATAAAATTTTTCTACTATGAAGGAAATTCAAAAATATTCTTAACATACCTTCTTAAATATCCCCTAGAGTTATGCTGAAATTACTTCAGGGAAAATACAGGCTGTAGCTGTCACCCACCCACTCACAGCTGTAATACTGGATAAAGAATAGTTACATCAGCGATAGATTTATCATATTATGATTAAAAAGTTCATTTAAATGAGAATCAAAACTGGCAGGAAAAAAAACTTTTACTAAAAGTGGTGAAATAAAAACTGTATGTGATCAGATTTTATTCCTGTTTGTCTCTTGACTGGAAGTGTAGAAAGAGTACAAATGACAAAACAGAGATGCCAGGAGACTGTTAGAAAGAAATAAGAATTTCCAGGTGTTGTGTTTCTCATATCCAGGAACACAAACAACTTGGTTTTTATTTTTGAAGCATAAAAACTTCAAAGATTTAGGTTTGACTTATATTTCATTGGTTGCATTAATAGAACTTCATAGCCAAAGGGTAATAGTTTACTCTGACTTCCTGCTTAAGACAGACCATGAAATTTGATTATCTATCTCCTAAAATGAATCCAATAACTTAAAATTGAACTACAGCTATTTTTGCTTTTAAACAGTTTATATATTTCTTCCAGCTTCCTCTTGACTTGGTCAACCTTGGTCTTGCAAAAATCTTTGGTAAAAATGGATCTGGATGCTCTCTTCTAGCATTTTGCAGAGCTGGGTATTTTTTTCCCCTTGGGTTTCCTTGTAAGTTTTTTTCTGATTTACAGAAGTAAAACACAATATTCATGGTATAAGGCAGAGTATCTGAAAGCACTTTACAAAGCCATGTCTGTTTCAAATGTATAAAAGCAACAATTAAAAAAAAAAAATCATTTATTCTCTGTTATTTTCTGTCATCTTGGCTCTTCTGTCACTTAGGTTACTTCCAGGCATGACAAACAATTTCAAGACTGTTTGTGAAATCACAGACAATAAGCAGCACCCAGTCCATTCTTATTTCCACAGTGCTGAAGTTTTGTCTTCGAAAGACATTCCACTATGTTAGCTGTGTAATTCAGAGACAATAAGAGACAGTCAAAAAAGAGATTCAGTATGTTTTCTGGTTTCCTGCTAAAAATAGGAACCAGCTAGTAAATGGATGTGCTCTGGTTTACAAACAAACTGTTGGAAAAGAAAAAATAGCTCAAACTTTCACATCTCAAAACTGTGGTGCTTTAAAGATTCTGTCAAGACAGTCTAGTTGTGAAGTTTTGTTGCACTTTCAAAAGAGCAATTAAAATTCTTTGAAATCTGTCTGCCGGTTGCTGGGTCTAGTATTGATCTCAAGGTTGCATGACTGTGTCTCCGCAAATGCTATGAGAGGATGAAGAACCAAGCAGGACCTCTTGGATCCATCAGTAGGCCAGAAACTTACTAGGACACTGAAGACAGAACAGCAGTGCTGCCTTTGGAAGGTGCACTACCTGTGAATTGAAACAGGATGATAAAAAAAGACAGAAATCTGATGTATCTTGTTAAAATGAACCCTGACTTTTGAAGGGAGTGGTAAAATGGTGGAAGTACTGTCAAAATGTTGTAAGCTTTGAAGTTTAAAAAATCTTTCTCCTTTGAAAAAAGAGAACTGGTTAGTCAAGGTGGGAGAAGTGCAGTCTGAAATGATGTCTGGTTACACCATGTAGCTGCATCTCATATAACCCTATATAATCCACTGAGAAACTGTGGGGGTTTTGTTCAGTAATCTTAAGCAGTTACTAAGCTGTTTAAAGAGCCTGTGCTAGTATTTTTCATGTTGCCAACACTTCTTCTGAACCAAGCCTAAAAGATGTGTCTTTGATATAAAGAATTAACATACACCCAATAACATGAGATCAGTAGAAAACATCCATCACCTTACAGCAAAGGAGGCTTTGTTTCACTTTAAACGTGCTCTGTTAACAGCAAGTTTGTCTTTCTCAGAAAAGCTATGAATTTACTATAGAAACAGCATAAGAGCATCCTACCCTGAAACAAATAGAAGTTCTCCCTTACATAAATTAAAAAGAGATTAATGCTGACCTTTCCATTGGTTAGAGATTAAATTTCCCAAGTAAGTGCATCTAGAGTAAAAATAAAACAATATCTTTTTTCTTCCCCCATGGAATTTTCTATGCTATGCCATACCACTAATAAGATAAACAATCTTCATGAAGTCTTTTTAAAAGCGTGCTCTTCCAGCAAACATGTCTGGTCTTCAGGACTGATATTTCCCTGTGGTCTTGCTTGGTTTTGTTGGCTCAGTCCCGAAAGAAACATGTTTGGAAAGATTTGTCTTTTAGTTACTGTTAGGGGACCACATGATACAAATGTCAGAATAAATATTGGTAATACAGGTTATCTTTTTTTTTTTTTTTTTTTTTTCCCCCAAAACTGGCTGCAGAAACTATGTTGGTATTCCTGAAAAATTTATTATTTCCCCCCTCTCCCCATTTTTACTGACATCCATATGGAGAGAAAGCAGCATATTGAGCCTAAAGGTATGAAATCATGCTTTTACCTGCAGACCATAAAGCACACTTGCCCTCAGTGCAAACTTACCAGCATTGCTGGGTCCAAAATTTTATAGCTAACAGCTATAATATTATAATATATTAAAACCTTTTCAAATAATCACTATATTTATCATCTTCTGGAAATCTGTGAGACCACTGAAACCTTTTTAATTTAGAAAGGATACTGCTTTGATTTTGTCAAGGAAAAAGTTACTGTTAGAATAGTGTAAATTTTGGTCTATGAATGACAAACTCAAAGGACAAAGTACACCATAAAATTAAAAATCTTTTGTGTTAGGTGTATCTTGTAGTAGCCCGTGTTTCACTCCAATGTTGTTGGAGAAAGTGTTTGTCTTCAATGTTTGTTATACCACTTGACAATAAGAAACAGTTTACTTT